TCTCTCTCTCTCTCTCTCTCTCTCTCTCTCTCTCTCTCTCTCTCTCTCTCTCTCTCTCTCTCTCTTTTTGTCGCTGTCTTCTGTGCAGGTACGCGGCACCTCACTCCGCAGCGCAGCGATGGCGGACTTCCCTTCACCTTTGGTGCACCTCGGCTATGGTGCCTAACTGGCGGGCGTCTCATTCCCCGCCGGCAACGACGATGGCGCGTGGGGTAACGGGAACCAGCTCCGATACCAATGCACTCAGACTTGCTTTCTTCTCCACTTCGCATACATACAAACAGATGGCGATTCACACTGGCGCAGTGCGCCCACTCAAAGCTCAGAAATAGGGAAAACGAGAACACAGTTTAGATGCGAAATCACTTCAACAAGCTATGGCGCTTCAACGCCTGCACACAACACTCCCGTCACTGTGTCCAACACCACCGTTTGCACATACTCAACTCTGGATCACCCTGAATACTCCACACACTTCCCTCTCTTACACAGACACACACACACACTAAAGGCTATCTTCCTCCCAGCCGCTCTACTACTACAAACTATGGGTACGTTGTCTCTCTTCAGCCCACTTCGACTTCGGGCGACCTGCAGACCACCTCGCACAAGACGATGAAGCAGCGCTTCCGCATGGCTTACGCACCGAATGAGTGAATGCTGGATGCTGCCTCTTGAGTTATACTTCTGTAACTCGTTGGTCTGCCCCCTTTTCCACCGGGCCCATGGTGCACACAGTCCCTTATGGTACTTGCTGACTGTACGAAGTGAGACTGGGACTGGGTACCGCTGACTCGTCGAAGTTGGACTCCACCACTTGCCCACTTGCCTTTGCCTAAACGTGAGACACTTTTGAAAGGCCACTTCCAGACCTTCCGGAAGTCTGTGGACTTGGCCTTTCGAGTACTGTAGCAGCTACGACCTTGACCTCTCAGAATACCTACAGCTACGGCCTCTACAGAGCTGTGACCCCTACTCGACAGACCTACAGATTGAACCCCTACAGCTACACAGACCTACGACAGACAATAATCAACTACCAAAACACAGGTCATGGGTTCAAACACTCAGGGTCGACTTGATACTGTACACGGGTAAGGTGAGGTCTGGGGATCGAACCGTGGGATCTGCATCTGCCTCTGCAAAGGTGAAAACCATTTCATCTTGGTCCACATTTGACTCTCTCTGATCGCCACTACTAATAGAATTAAATCGTTATCCCACCGTAGCATTTTCGCCTCACCTCCTCCTGTGTTCTCCTCGTTCGGTCCTCCTCTGCTTCTCGTCCATCGTGGACTATCTGACACACCATCCTTCCCTGACTGTACCATGTCGACCTCCCGTCTTCCAATGCCCTGGTTCAATTTACCCTGTTGAAAGAGGTGCTCTTTGCCAAGTCATCGTTTGTTTATCAGAAGCTGCAAAGCATCAGCAACTTTGCTGAAGGATGCTTGACTAAGTTGACTTATCTTTGTTTGTACCTTTGTGAGTACCCCCCTTGTTTGCACCTGAGTTTCCCTGTTGTGTGTACCTTCATGAGTAGCCCTGTTAAGCAGACCACTTGCCTGCTACTTTTTTACTTCCCAGGATATCCATATGATAATGGTGTACACACTGTCAGGAGTGTCAAATGAATTCCACTCTAGAGGTGCAAAATTGGGATTGAGTCAGTCTTGCATACCCCGACGGTCAGCGGCCTGACTGGTCGGTCGGTCGGCACCTACCCGTCGGGGGTCGTCGGCACCCTGCAAAAAAAAAAAAAAAAAAAGACCCCATACCTGCCCCCAATACCCCCATGCACCCCCCGAACACCCTTATACCTGTCTCTTATACACATCTAGATGTGTATAAGAGAC